CCCATCGAAAACCCGTTCGGAGAAGATATATATTCTTCAACTTGGAACACTCGAGGCTGGGTGTGGCAAGAACAATCCTTGGCTCAAAGACTACTTATCTTTGGCAAAACGATGTTACATTTTCGATGTCACTGCCGACACTTTTCAGAATATGGCGATCGTCATAAATATATAGCATATTCTGCGCCTTTTGAAACACTTCTTCTTAATCGAAGGCCATCCACCTTTGACTGGAAACAAATAATTGAGAGCTACACCCAAAGAAGCTTGACCAAATCTCACGATCGACTGGCGGCGATTTCTGGATACGTGAAATTAATGGCCAAAAGACTGAAAGATTTTGATGAGTCAGGGACCTATCTGGCTGGTATTTGGCTCTCTGCACGTGTGGATCTGGACAGGCAGCTACGCTGGGTCACTTCTACCCCAATCCTCTCATACACAGAGTTATTACAAGCGCATTTGGATTCTGATACGTACATTGCTCCAACTTGGAGCTGGGCGTCTCTCAATCAAAGTGTGTCCTTCTTGTTGTTTTCTACTTTCACCATTGAGACTGCTTTTCAACTCATAGCTCACACTATTGAACCTGCGTCAAAGAACTCAGATGTCACAATTTCCATCAAGCCTGGATCATCCATCACGCTCTCTGGAAAGCTCCGAAATATTCCTCGGGGACCATATACTATAGAAGAAAGTTCTTCCAACCGCAAAGTTGTGAATCAAGATTTTGTGATGGATGAACCACACAAAAGGGAATCGGTGGAGGGCTTCATGAAGAATGATTGGATCAGTTATTATACCGATTGGGACCCTTCACTTGATGATTTCGACGGCAGAATTATGGATGACAATCTTACACTATTTCAAACATGTGTCGAGACCGTGATTCATTGTCCGAAAGCAAGTGGTCTCATGTTACTTCCAGTCGAAGGGGGGAATACTCGGTTATTTCGCCGAGTCGGAGCCTTCGAAATTTGGGGACCGTTGGACTCACCAGAATGGAAGGAAACTGAAGTCGTCATCATCTAGCTCTGGCGGTGGTTTCAAAAGAGTTGGTATTCATTTAGTTATGGTTTCGGAGTTCTGCACTTCATGTTTCGGGGTCTAATCGCGTGCTATAATTGGGTTTTTGTACTTGGAAATGTTCATGATCTAGCTTGGAAACTTGTTCCCTATTCTTACCAATTTCATCTCCTCAATCGTAATATACTCATTCATCATGGGAATCACAAAGCACATCTTCAATATAATGTTCTTGACCGATGTATATCATGATTATCACCAGCAAACATATTCCGAATCTCAAGCTCTAATTAAAGCCCCCTTCAAATACGAGCCTTTTTGATTCAAACTATCAAAGATGGTAAATCTGTATTGGTATCTCAATATCTCCTTGTAGTTCCCATGCTGAATGATTTCCCAGGAGAGGAAAAAATCAAAAACGTTAAAAGATGAAATGAAAAAATACACATCTTTGAATACCTATCTCAACCAGTCCGGAAAAACACCGCAAAAATATCACAAATCTTGGCCCCTTTCGATATCTTATCTAATTACTAATTATAGTAATTATAGTAATTACAATATTAAAAAATCATACGAGCCATGTCCCCGCTAATCAAACCATGTTATTACGCTATACGTAACTGTAACTCCTCCCCTTCTTCTCACCCCCCCCCCAAACATATGTTCCGTGACTCGTAGGTAGGTAGGTATAATTGGTTGGCGCTGCAAGAGGAAACAAAAAACAGGAAATAGAAAACAAAAAATAGGAAATAGGAAATAGGAAATAGGAAATAGGAAATAGGAAATAGGAAATAGGAAATAGGAAATAGGAAATAGGAAATAGGAAATAGGAAATAGGAAATAGGAAATAGGAAATAGGAAATAGGAAATAGGAAATAGGAAATAGGAAATAGGAAATAGGAAATAGGAAATAGGAAATAGGAAATAGGAAACCATATACATGGTCTCATTTCGACATCAACTTATCCCTTCTATACGTTTCAAACAACTGAGGTTAATCATCGATATCGTGCTAACTGGCAAACAAAACTATGATCTTCTCGCTGAGATTCGTTTCCTCTTTGATGATTTCGGGGTAGGTGGTCAATTTTGTTGTTTTTAGGTCGTAAATATTAGAATTTTGAGTTGAGATGAAATGAAATTTGTAGGGCAATCTAAAGTACATTTTTGGGAAGCTAATTAGTTATGCAGAGTAGTGGAAAGGTTTTAGTATATCTCTATCTCGTCATATTTTTTTACTGGAATTTTGTTAATGTAATTTTTTAAAGCTAGATCATGAGGTATGATTAATTGATTTTGGTGTTGGGGGGGACCCCATTAGCCTCAGCCGATCACATACTTTAATTACCTATCTACCTTCGCCTTCGACGTATGAGTACTTTTGTGATAAGGGTACCTTATTACGATACTTCATAGTAACTCATATTAGAAGTTCCTACCAATACCTATTAATCTCTAACCCAGTACTCATTGCAAAATCTCAATTGACTCCGTTCATTCCTTGCACCTTGAACTTCTCAGCAGAGTTCGTATTCTAGCCCACATTGGATATTTAAATATGATCAAGTTCATGTTCCAATCAGGGGTTCTCTTCCAATAGAGCTCGACGTTTGATACACATCCAATATTTCAAATCGATTCATATTTGTTGTAAAATAGTTGTACTAAGCCACTCTGCTTAGCATTATATACATTTCCAACAATATTATTCCACTGTAGTCCGGACTATTCAAAGCCCTTCGAGTCGTTTATTAGATATATTTGGAAGTACTATCTTTTCGAAATTTCGAAACTGATCTTTGCATTCTGTGGGTACTTGGATTCATCCTCTGCATGCCTGTATTGTCTAATTACTGTTCCAGACAGTAGGTAAACGTAAACTGATAATCAATTCTGCAGATACTGATTATCTTGATCTCTGATACTGATACTGATATATATTTCAGAGACATGGAAAAAAGTCAGTACATCTTATCAATACTCCTTTTTCTAGATTCTAATTCCAATGACTTCTATTTTAGCCGAGAAAAGATTCACCAACTGTGGAAACTTGAACCTTAACAAACATGTAAAAGGCCTATCATTCCCCGAACCTTCTTTTAATATGCATTTTCTGCCAGTCTATATAAGCACTAGGTCTACTGGATCCCTACTTTATCCTTTTCATTGAATCGAATACTCTATCAATGAATGTAATATTCGATTAATCTCTAATCATTGGACGCACGCAGATTGGGCATTGCATTCGTTTACTGGTGTGCCTAATAGACCTATTTCTCGCATGGAATAAGGTGATATTTCTTGCAAAGAGAATATATATGTTATTTGTCTGCATTGCTTCATAAGATACAAGTAACTTACCATAACCACTCCATACATGAGCTCTATTCTAGGTCCTCTTCTACTTATCGATATAGCCGCTAACTATCTAAGTATATATAGGAATCTCGAGGCCCGAGGGGGTGTACTTCAACTCTTTATCAAGGGGAATTATCCTTGAAAGAGAGGTTAGTGATAATAAAATATTGAACTACCCCTTGCTCTTGTACTCATTTCTCTCACTTTCTTGAAATCGGGATATACCTAAAGCCCAGTTGGTGGGATTTCAAGCTTTGATATTAGATGATTGACTTTTGAAGAATCAGAGCATAAAAGAATAGCCCGGTTAGATCACCCCAACGCGTCAGCGGTTTTGTAGCGAAATTTGAGGCTTCAAGTTCACAAGGCGGTCGCAGGATTATATGATAACCAGGGGATGGCCATAGAATCGTTAAAGAAGTGAGTAATGATGCGAAATAAAGTATAGATGGGTCGAAAAGAAGCTATATAGGCTAGATAGACTTTAGGGTTAATTGTTCAAAGTACAATACAACAATAGAAATTGGAATTGGAGGGTGAGAAAATGACTTTGCCAGGTTGATCGAGACACTGCTTGCTTAAAAGCGATGTAAGAATGCATAGCAGAATTAGAGGGCAAGAAAATAACCAGGTTAGGTAGATGGAAGAATTGATTGTTCCAACAGTAGTGCAACATAGAGAAGTCAAACTAGACGGTTGAGGAAAAACTAGCGAGGGGAAGAAATAGAAAGGGCATTTCATCATCACAAGATCTCTACGACATTGAAACATCAAATTTGACTATAGGTTGGAGAAGGGTACATGGAGAAGCTTTCAGTGTCAAAGTTCCCTATCCTGAAACAGGCAAGACCATGTTCCTTAGAAAGGAGTTAAATCAAGAAGAGTAGAACTCAAGTTGTTTTGGGAAGTGCATTTCATTCTATTATACTACTCCCCAATGAAGAATCACATACCGAATGGTTTTCCACTCTATATCACTTCCTGAAATAAAACCACAAACTGACGTTTAAAGTTCAATATTGAGGCTATGTGTCTTTGTTGATATAAAATAGTTCTACATACACTAGCTCGATACACAATAATAATATCAACAATAGTCTTGAACGATAGTCTCCAACCAAAATATACCCACCCCAATCCATCTGTCATATTATGCAAATGGGTGGCCCTATAAACATGCTTCGTTCTCCAATTTAGCAGGAGCTTGAGCCATCCCTTTCTAAGAAACACCAGATATTGACCTATCTAGTCTTAAATCAAACTTCTAACCATCTTCATTCTCGCATACCAATAAACATTTTTCAAGGCATCATGGATCGCTCATATCGCAGACGAATGACACTTTATGGTAATACGGCGATTCATCGCAATGCTTACATCTTGAGATAGATTATATATTTACTTTTTCAGAACCATTAATAAAATATCATAACAACCAAATCAATGAAAATTCATACATAATAAATAAGGCCAATCTAATCTCTCTCCCAACTTGCGAAGTGGAACCCCCCTTTCGCTTAAAACTCTGCCAAAAAATTTCTCCACCCCCACTTACTATACCGTGGGATATATTGGCAACCATGAACGTTTCTGACATCAAATTCAATAAACTATCCGGCATGGTGTAGTGGCTAGCATTTCCGCCTCTCATTCGGAGCTTTCGAGCTTCAATCAAGTCGCGGGAGACCGGGGTTCAATTCCCCGTACCGGAATTTCTTTTTGCCTCATTTTCTTTTTTTGGTCTTTTTTTGCCTCTTTTTTGGGGGGGGGAAAAAGACATATGAAGGCAAAGCACTCTGCATGTAGTTCGACTTATGTTTTCCATAATACTGCCCGACACGCATCCGCTAAAGTATTGGCCCCGCTCTCCGGCTCGTGGGAGCGTTCACCAATAACATCGGTCTCGGATCCCCCAAGTATAGTATTTGCCTCCGTCTCACTCGGCATATCAGTACTATTACCGGTATCATGTTTCCCAATCTTCTTCCCCTTACCCACTCTTTACAGATTCGCTTAAGCTTTCCGTAGATATCTGTCTTTCAGATCTTTCAAACTTTTTTACTTCACATCATTGACCTCGAAAGTGTGTCAATCAAGCATGATGTCTGTCGTCTTATCATGCGATCAACATGGTATTTGATATCAATAGTCCGTTGATGATCCACATTATGTTACAAGTTATAGTTATGCTATTGGATTTGAAGCTTTGCGTATGGCATAGCAGCGCAGTTTCCTATAGTCTGGACTGCAGTCCAATGACAAAAGACTTTTAAACATTGAGACCATTTCAAATATTGAAATCATCTTATATGTCAAAATTATCTTGAACATCGAAACCACTTCAAATTTTCAACCCCTTTCGATTATTCAATCGATTTAAAATAAAACAACAAGCTCCTTTAAATGATTCAAGCATTTTCAAACATTCAAAACTTGAAAACTCGAGATCGGACTGCAGTCTGGAATACGCAACCTATACTATGAAGCACGGATTTATTGTTAAACTCCTATATATCTTGGTATATTACAACAATAACTTGAGCGATTTCGATTGTGTAAATAAACAATTAGACAGGGTTAATTGATTGGAATGGTTGTAATACTCTCTCTTTCTCTTAAGAAAAACAAAAAACAAAATACTCTAAAAACTCCGTACAACATTCCCCGATGACCTACGAAATATCCGACGTGCTCACCAGGAGCTCCCGGTACCTTTCAAATTTTCCCCGGTGAGCTCAAACCTAATCCCACACTAGCTCCCGGTAAGCTTTTTATTTTCTCGTATTTCCTCGCATTTGCTCGTACTTCCTCGGATATCCTCGTATCTCCATGCCCGGTAAATTCATCCCCAATTTTTAGTATACATACCTAGCTAGCATTTACAGCTATCAATCATTTCCCGCTATTATTCGGTTCCGGATCTACATTATGTTAATGACTACGTGCCCTCGGTTGTTTCGCACTTCTCATCACCGTCGCGAAGCCAGGGTTGGATAATGCGTAGGGTATACCCTGGGTAGTCTGGGTAAAACCCGACGGGACGCCCCTCTACTGGGTAGGGTAGGTAGGGTAGGTAGCTATCTTTAAAAGGCTGTGGGGTATCTGGGGTAGGTATCTGTGGGTATATATTATATAATCGTTGAATATTATCACTCAAAGTTGCTTAGATCAGGGTAAGAATCTAGGGTAACTATTCTGTAGAATCCTATAGGGTAGGGTGAATTACCTACCTATAGAGGTCAAATACCCCCGATAAGATACAGGTGCGCAGGCCTGCTTCCGGTTTATAGTATCTATTTTGCGGGGAAGAGGGGGGGTGGCTAATGAGATAGATAGATGGATCATTCAAGTTCAGCAAGACAGAGGAGAGAAATTGGGAATCTAAATAACCGTTTTGAACTTGTCAATTTGAATGTACCAATCCATACAGGAAACGCATCCGCGCAAAGCAAAGAAACTCCAAGCCATTCCAATCCATACCATTATCATCCTAAAGACCAAATTTCTCCTTAAACCTTAAAATCGCATCCGCAATCTCCTCAACATTCGTCTCCACTGCAAAATGTCCCGCATCCAAATATTCCACCACGACATTCTTACAATCCTTCTTAAACGCCTCAGCGCCAGCCGGGACGAAAATCTCATCATTCTTACCCCAAACCGCCAGAACGGGGACATTTGAATCTCGAAAGAACTTATGAAATTCCGGGTACAGATCAACATTCGTGCGATAGTCGTAGAAGAGATCGAGTTGAATGTCCATGATTCCCGGACGGGAAAGGAGGGCGAAGTCGAGGGTATAGGATTCGGGTCCGATTTTATGGAGGTTGGATTGCGGGGTGCCGGTCACGTATTGCCATTTGGTGGCCTCGAAGGAGAGGAGGGTGGATTTGAGGGATTTGCGGGCGGCGGCCAGTTCTCGGGGGGTGTCGGTTGCCCACATTGCTTGGATGGGCGCCCAGAATTCGCCGAGTCCTTCGGCATATGCGTTGCCGTTCTGGGAGATGATGGATTGGATGGCGTCGGGGTGACGGATTGCAAGGCGGAATCCGATGGGGGCACCGTAGTCGAAGAGATAGAGGGAATATTTTTGGACTTTCAGCTCATTCAAGAAAGACTCGATGGTGTTCGTTAGACCTTCGAATGTGTACTTGTAATTTCGGGTTTCGGGAACCTCGGTAAACCCAAAGCCGGGAAGGTCTGGAGCGATGACGTGGTATTTCTGAGAGAGGAGTGGCATCAAATTGCGGAATTGGAGGGAAAAGCTAGGGAAGCCGTGAAGGAGGAGGAGTAAAGGCGCATCGGGGGGGCCCTCCTCTCGGTAGAATAGCGTGACGCCATCGACAAGGACGCTTCCCCGTATGACTCCAGGCATTGCGATGCATCTTTGGGTGATGAGGGATAACAAATGGAAATCGATAATATGGCTCATGGTCTCATCATTTATGCACGCCCGACACAAGAATGGCGGGGTATATGTCGTAACTCATGCTTCAACTGTGTATTATATATTGGCTGACGTTTGTCAAATCTGAAAACGGCGGCGAACATATTTTCTTTCGTCTTTGTCATCCTCTTACAGGAGTGAGCCTAATCAAGACTACTGCATCTCTGATTGGATGAAATGTGAACAAGGGAATTAATACAGAAGCTCATAGCATGCTTGATCACACTTCTGAGGTCTTTCTGGAATATTCATTAGTTTTCCCATGACACTTGATCAATGAAAAGTCTGGAAATTTCGCATGTTGACATTGAATCCAAGATATTGTCATACATAGGCCCTGCCTACAGTGAATGACATGCTGTACTAGTACGGCTAGCACCCTTATATAAGGTAGTGATCTAGAAGAGGTCCTTTCCTCTTCAGCATAGTTCTTTTATCAGATTACAGATCCTGAAGCTATTCCCACATGCCCTAGGTGACGTGCATGACAGATATTCCAAGTTCGGTGATTGAATAAGAATATCTCAACCCACGAGAGACATTGTCTAGCCGCAATTGGAGAGTATTAACTCTAATGAATTTGAATAGCTTATATGAATTACCAATACCAAGGGCTCTTTTAGATGTTAAAATCCGTCTAATAATCCCCCCTTTTCCACAAAATAACCTGCGTTTTTCTATTCTAATCGCCTGATAAGTCTTACACGAATTTTATATAACAATCCGCATTTAATGAAATTTCTAGTAGGGCCTTAATAAGTTCTTTCGGAACTTTCCTAAATATTCACATTTCTATTTTATTTTATATAATACGAAATAGAAAGAGGTGTTGAAGCCTACCTAGGTACAGGCACCATGTACTGTGGTGGGGAAGTGGAGGTAGGAGCTAGTCCCAATGTGGCTAAGGGCGGGGTAGCACTAATATAGAGCTCTTCGTAGAGCCTCTCCTCTCTTTCAGTACAATCTAACCTAACCTTGCTACCCTGAAAGGAGGCATTCTCTTAACAGAATCGGTATTTATATATCGGTATTTACACAACGGAGCCGATACATCAAAAAATCTAAATTATAGGACTTCTCAGCTTTAATTTCATTTTAAGTTATACTTCTTTTTATAAAAGCTAATAATAATTCCAAGCGGATGGATTTAAAAGCCTTCCTTTTTTTGAGCGGACTTGTACTATAGCGGAATCCGATATGGCATAAAACAGCGGATTATTTAGCTGAATCCGCTGTTTTTCGACATCCGAAGTTCCGAACGAGCCCCAACTCGGGTCATCCTTTTCGCTCACATAGACTATCAAGAACCAGTACCGTAAAACATCTTTACTGCAGCGCCAAGGCGAACATGGACTCTACATCGCAGGCCTCCCTCCATGGGCAAAGTAAGACTGTTCTTACTAATTTTCTCTTTCTGGTCAATGGGCAAAAATGTGCAGTGCTCCACTAATGTTCCAATAACTTGAGCAGCTACAACTTCCGCCATCTTTTTTCCTAAGCAAGTCCGAGGTCCTCCATTGAATACTGGATACTCAAAAGCAGTCTTTGAAATCAGAACGCCATTTTCTAGCCATCTTTCGGGTCTAAATTCGTCAGCATCCTCACCCCAAGTTGATTTTGACCGATTCATTGCCCATGTACACCAAACAAGTACGGCATTCTTGGGAAGGAAAGTTCCATCAGGTAATGTAGTTGCTTGCTCGCATTGCTTGATTTCAAAAGGTACCGGTGGGTAAAGTCTTAAGGTTTCATAGAAGACAGCCATTATGTATGGCACGACTGTAGGTTGGTATGATGTGGATCTCCCAAATTGCCCCTCTTTGACTAGAGCGTATACTTCTTGGCGTACTTTATCCATTACGTTTGGGTTACGCATGAGAAGATAAAAAGCCCAAGTTAAAGCTTGCGCGGTAGTATCACGACCTAGCAATCATTAGTTGGGGAATCGAAATATGTTCGTTTGATATGGTACATACCTGCAGAAAGGTAATTCAGAGCAGCGTCTGCTACCATTTGATGATCGGCTATCGAATCCAGTAAAGAGTGAATCAGACTGCCAGAGATAGAGTCCAAGGATCTTGGATCGTTTGTGGTCTGCTTTTTCTCTTCTCGAGCAATAACTGCATTCGACACAATTTCAGCACCAAAGGCTTTAACCTTTGCTATTGAAGATCTAAAACGACCACCAAATACCATTTCAGTGACCGGCCAAAGAGGGTTTTGAAACCTCTCACCAGTAGCTCCAGATGCGTATTCAAAAGCCAA